GTTTAAAGATATCTAGGACCTGTCCCACAACTGGCTGATAGAGGCTCAGATAGCAGAATGACGTCACTCTCAAGGGAACAAAATCCTTCTATCACATATTTTACACGTTGTCAATTTACAATTTGATAGGACAGGCCCTTTTTTTCCCCTTTTCCTTAATTCCACGCAGACGGAGTCACAGGCAAAACCTAGTATACAAATATGTTGCCTGTGACTTCGTCGGCGTGGTATTAGAAAACATACGAACTATATAAATAACAAAAAGCTACGTATCCCTCGGGAACCGGACATTTCTCAAGGATGAAAATTATCCCATGTGTACTCCAGACTTTGTTTTATATCTGTGCCTTTCAATAAGATATGTTGAATCGTTGCAGAATGATCGAGTAAACATTAAAACACTGAATAAATGAATCCCAGAACCGTAACTTTTTCCGGGATAAAAGCCTATGTGTTCTTCCAGACTATGCTCTACATCTGTGCCGAATTTTATCGAGATCCGTTTAGCAGTTTAGGCTACAAACTCTAACAAACATCCAACTAAACTTTCGCATTTATAATATTAATATGATATATTGTACACTTTTCAGGTTCGTCAGAATTATATAAAGAAACGACTTTTAACTACATACCGTGCTTTAGAGAGGATGTCCCAGTCTGAGTTTAATTTGGACAGGCTTGAGGTAAGATATCTATGTAAATATCCATGTATAATATAATATAAATATAGCCTATGTTATTGATAATTTTTGATTTTAACCCAGTAGTTTTTGAGTTATCCCAATACCTACAATTTATTTAATAAAACAAATATTCCCTCAATAGTTAAATACAAATATTATAAAGAGGAAAGATTTTTTATTTTAAAATAACTCAAAAACTACTGGGACAATTTCAAAAATTCTTTTACCGTAATAAACTTACTTTATCTGTATGTGTTATAAAATCAGCCCAGTTTCTTTTGAGTTTTTTAATGCATACAAAAATACAAATCTTTTCTCTTTATAATATTAGTATTGACTATCGTTGCTGGCGACTTCGCGTTAATTTAAAAACCCATAGCCTATAGTAAACATAATTATAGTTAGTATCTATACTTCTATACAAATATCATAAAGAGGAAATATTTGTATTTTTGTATGTATTGAAACTCAAAAACTACTGGGGCAATTACAAAAAATCACTTTCATCCATCAACACAAAGTTTCATCCGTCCCATCTTTTAGTCCAACTATCACCAATAAGGTGACAGATGGAACCGTTATGAAATAAAATAAATTCAACCGTCCCCTTGTCGCAAAAGGTGGGACGGATGAAACTTATTATCACCTGTCCCCATGAGTGGACAGGTATACCCAACCGTCACCCCTCTCTGTCCCTACGTGAGAATAAAAAGTTTCATCCGTCCCATCTTAGTCCTGCTATCACCAATAAGATGACAGATGGAACCGTTATGAAATAAACTAAACTTCAACTGTCCTCTTGTCGCAAAAGGTGGGACGGATTTATTTTTTTTTAGGAATGCCAACAAAACATTTTAAAGTAGATTTACATATAGTGGTTGAAACTCAGTTAAAAATATGTACATAAACTTATTCTCACGCGTCCTCATGTGTGTCCCCACGAGGGGACGGTAATACCCAACCGTCACCAGAATCTGTATCTAGGTGACGGTTGGGAATAATCCTATTTAACGTTACCAGAGGCAGCGAGCGGATGATTTTTTTTATAATAAAAGGGGACAAACGAGCGCCGTGAACACCAAGGTTGTCAAAGATGGCGGCTTTTAAGTGTCAGAAATGCCATAATAAAAATGTCTATTATCTTATAATAGTAATTTGCTATAGCAAGCTGCTGCCGCGTCCACTGGCCGCGGGAACTGCCTCGCGCCGCCCCCCAACACTCGCTTACTGCATCCTGGTAAGTTACAGTCACGGACACAGACAAAACACTCACAATACACATCCCCTTATCCCTTGAGGGTCGGCACAGTGCTGCTCCATACATCTATCAGTCATATCTGAATACACTCCTTTCTTAAGCTTCACACAATCCATACATTTCTTCGGTCTTCCTCTACCTTTGTCATCATTCAATCTTAACACTTTCTGTATGTCCCCCATCTCTTCGCATAATATGATCAGATTTCTATGCTAAATTTCATCTAGATCCGTTCAGCAGTTTAGGCTACAAACTAATAAACATCCATCTAAACTTTCACATCTTACTAATTGTGCAAGACAATAGTTTATAAATTGCAGTTAATATTGTATAGTTCATATAATTTGTTTAATGTAAATACAATTCATTTTTTTAAAAATAAATCGTTAGGAGGTAAAGCGGCTTAAGAACACACGTTATTACACCCCCGTAGCGAACATAAACAGGCGCTCGGGCGTACAGACTAGTCTTGGGCTTAATCGGACATCTGCAAGTGCGCACCGTACTAGTACAATTGGGAAAACGTACTAGTACACACTTTTAGCACCGTACTAGTACAATTGGGAAAACGTACTAGTACACACTTTAGGCACCGTACTAGTACAATTGGGAAAACGTACTAGTACACTTAGTACCTTTAGTACTTCAGATTTGTGAAAACACAATACATGAATAGAATATAACGAGGGTTATATATTACTTCACATCAAATTTTAAGCAGGGTCAAACATATGTTATTAGCGAAAATAAATTTAGTTATGAATGATTTTATCCACTTTTGATTCTCATTATCGAAGGTGGATGCTTCAATCTGACAAAAAGACGAACACCGATATCGTGTAGTGTACTAAAAGTACTAAATGTCCGATTAACAGAAGCCGTTCGGTAACGTTACTTTTAGTACAGTACCGAGTAACATTACTTTTTAGTACATCGTACGTGTACTACCCAAGACTAGTACAGACGGGAAAATCATCTAATAGTTACAGAAGTGTGGAAACAGAAGCCCTACCTACAAGTGAAAATCATCAAGTCTTTTATTTGCACACACCGGCGATAGGTGTGCATCCTGCACACTAATATTATAAATGCGATGAAATTTAGCATAGACAGAGGATAGTGTTGAACACATAAGCTGCTTCATCATCATCATCACCAGCTCACTTTAAGTCCCCACCGAGGGGCTCGGAGCCTATCCTAAGTAAGGGACAACTGGGCCAGCGTGGTTGACTATGGCCTAGTCGTCTCTTAGGATAGGCTGCTTGATTTTGATATATTTCCACACGGACGGAGTCGCGGGCGAAAGCTAGTACTCCATACATTTCCATCCATCATATCTGCATTCACTCTCTTAGGTATATATTCCACACATTCCATACTTCAGTCTTCCACTACCTTTGTATATTCAAATTCAAACGTAACACTTTCTAGTAAATGTCCCCATACACGTATACATACAAATAACTAAAAACATCCCCTAGTCACTAAAGAGGGTCGGCAGTACTCCATCAGCTGTAATATCTTTATCTTTCACACAATCCATACATATGTCTCTTAAACTCCACTTTCAAATGGCCAAATACATTTAAAATGTATAGAAGTTACCCTTTTTACCTTTACTTTGTATGTGGCGTATGTTCTCTTCCAGACTATTTACATCTATGCCAAATTTCATCGAGATCCGTTTAGGTAACAAACTCTAATAAACATCCATCCATCCAACTTTCGCTTTTATAATATTAGTTTCTTGTATTACCAGAGACAGCACATCTTGTGCTGACAGCTGCGGATTTGGAACGTGAACGCGGACGTCCTCTGTCCAAATATGAACGAAATATGATGATTTTCAACTGGCTTCATACTTTAGATGAAGGCGCACCCTACTAATTGACAATTTACCAAAATCTACCAATTCGTTTACCTTTAGGTATATTTCAACTTAAAATTCAAATTAACTTGATTTGAACTGTCAACTATTGGTTCGTTTACCTAATATCTCACTAAGAAATATTAATATTCCAGTCAAATAAATTAATTTACAGCCTTAATTAATTGTCTGATAATCCAAATAAATATGTGATGGAAATATCGGATTTTATTCCCTTATCTGACTGGCATTATGCTATCTGAGACTCTATCAGCCAGATGTGGGAGAAACCTTTAGTAATTTTCTTGTCATATTTATTAGTAAATAGGCTGTTTGTGTGAAATTGTAAAAAATAGAACATGTAAAGTATCTTCAAATTTCTAGATGATTCTAGAATAAAAAAATTAGGTTGGCTTAATTCTTTTTTTTAGTGTATGAAAAAATTGATTTGCTAAAATTAGGAATTGACTTATTAATATATATTTAACGTGAATCTTTTTAATTCCGAGTCTAAGAATATTCCAGAATGTTCTAAACCAGAGTTTCCCAAACTTTTTTGTGTTTTAGACCCCTTGTTATGTTATTCCGTGTTGTGTAGACCCCCTACTTACCTGATATTTATTTTCTGTATATTTCTAACTTGTAGTGGTTTAGTATTAAAATATAAGTAAATACAAAGTTAATTTATACAATAATTTGAATTTAAATAAAACTACTGAAAATAAATAATATTCTAAGATAGTACGATGTAAGTAGGTAGGGTTGTAACGGAACTCCGCTTCCGCATAACAAGTACGGAACTTCCGCAAGAAATGTTAACTCCGCATTAGCTTCCGTTGTGTTTATGCGGAGTTATAACGGAAGTTAATTTACGTCTTTAACTATAATTGTTATACATTATATTTGAATAATAAACTGCATCTTGTAATTATGTACCAATGTATTTTGAATTAACGTAGTTTTAGTTGTTTCTTTAATAAATCGCAATTAATATTTTATTATTGACCTCCGCTTCTGCAGACGTAAAGACCTTTCCATCCGCATCCGCTTCCGTTAGAATGGCCTCCGTTACAACCCTAATAGGTACTATCAGTGTATGTGTTTAGATCCATTATCGTGGACCCCCAAATTTTTTCGCTGACGTAGGCCCCTTGATGAATGACAATGGATTTAAAAAAAATAACAAAAAGGTTGTTGAATGACCCTTACAGGTTATAGACCCCCTAGGGGGTCGATATACACCACTTTGGGAATCACTGGAATATAAAATATATATGACATTTGAAGATAGAACAGGGATATACAATACCATAGCTTTTGTATGCATTATTTATGTACAGGATGATTTATCAATCGAATATTTTTTTGCTGTTAATTTTTATGGTATTAAAGAATTGATTTTAGTTTTAGACAGTTTAGTCTAGTTCTTGATATAGGATGTTCCATTAAGTTATTTTTTTAAGCTATAACTTAGAATAAGTTAACTACTTTTGGATTCATGGCCTTTCTATTTTCCCTTCCCACCTTTTTCTTAAGGGAAATGGATTTGGCAAAGAAAGGGGCGCTATCCTGTGCTCTTCTCTGTCGATTAAGTGACGTATCTGCAAATACAGATGTCTGGTAACTGTACTGATGGACATTTCGCTGTTTTGGCGAATTCAACTCGTTTGTCACTTTGCAATAATCAGTAGCTTATTTTGTAGTTGGAGTAATAATTCTGCATTCCTTTTAAATAAAATTATTCAATACATTATTAATGACTTACCTTATGTATAGATTTATTATTGTTTTATTTATATTTTGTCGATTAAAAAAATGGCAATTTTTTTAAAAATATGGAAAATTAAATTATTACTAAAAAAAGCCTACTTTTAGCTTAAATAAGCTTTACTTTTAATTTTTTAAAGTATCTTTTATAGATATAAAAATGTTAAAAGCTCTTTTTAGTAATAATCAGATTTTTCGAAATTTTTTGTAAAATGTTAATTCGACGATATAAATATCCAATTATATAAAAATGCTTTAAAATTGTGAAATTTCAAACACGCTGTATATTTTTTTCGTATCGCCAGTTCCTAATTGTTAATATTTACGGATGCATTTATTTTTATTGTGATAATTTAAATTAAAAGAAATATGCTTTGTTTTGTAAGATTCCTGTCCTTTTAGGTTAGGTTTTTTGATCGACGAAAATCTCTAAAAAAAGAATACGATATTTTTTTTATTTCGTTTTTTTCTAAATCTAAATTTGAAAAAGATTTTACGATATTTTTTTATTTGATTTCAATATTTTTTAAAAAATATTTTTTTTTGTCATTTTTGCATCTAAGATATTTGTCGATCATAATAGAATTTTTTCTCGTATTAGAAACATTTATTTGCTATATCAAGTTATTTGTGCCAGTTTTCAAAGTATACTTTAGAATATACGGAAAAAAATAAAAATTATATTTCAGTTATGAAATTTAACGGTTATTGTATTGTAAAAACGGCCTATAAAATATTTTAAGTTACTAGACTTTCCGTCGATGCTTTTTTCAGCTCTGTTGTAAGTAAATGTATGTATGGAAATATGAAATTATAACTAAAATGTTTGTATGATTGTAACTTTATTTTATAAATAAATGATTGTGAAACACCCTGTATTTTTATTTACCACATACTGTTAAGAACAAAATTAGTACCGTGCTGTAGAATTGGCGCAACTCTAGATTATCGGCATGAACGTCACGTCCCTAGCTGACAGCTGTCAATGTCACTAGAAGTATGGATAGATTGGCGCGCGACTTGAGTCTTGACGAGAAGTGTTGCTCTGAGTTTAAAGCGACACTATCAAATAAGTTGTCTAAAAATTCTGAGTTAAATAGCTGTTTCTCGCAGTTTCGTTCATATAAAATTAAAAAATACACTAAAAACAAAATATTCTCAAAAAAACAGTACACTAAAAAGTAACGAAATAATTCCTTGTAGTAAACCTACCTTATTGTAACTGTTATGTCTATATTGTACAATTATTATTACTTTGATGTCGGTGTCAGCCAAGGTACGCAG